AATGGAGCCTTCTTGGAGGAACACTTCCCCAAACTATGAATGTAATCCTAATCTGGTGTGAAGTTTGAGAGGATGATAGGCAGGCTTGGGGTGAGCACAGGACTTGGAGCCAGCGAATTCCTGAGTGGCAGTCCTGGTTCTGACATAAACTCTTTCTGTGACTTTCTGAAAGATATTGCTTCTCTGCCTCAGTGTCCCATCTGTAGATTAGGGGCGTTAAATAGTGACTCTGCTCTCAGGGTGGCATTATGGTTAGTGTTAGCTAAAGGCTTTGAAGTTCCACGTAAGTGCTAAATGTTTTAATTATTTTGCAGGCTGTGCAACCTGCTGCCTGTTTTGCAAGTTGACTGAAATGTCTCATATGCTGATTGATTTTTTTCTATTTAGAGTTAACTAGTTTTTGAGAAAGTCACCAAGTTGTGTTGGGACTAATTCCTATGAACCTGGATAGTACTTAGTGTTTATACAGCTTAGTCCAATTTCCTGACTCTCGTGGTTCTGTAATTTCAGCTGCCAATGTAGGAGCCAGCTTGTTCTAGAATCAATCTGATGAAGTGAGCTGTAGCTCACGAAAGCTTATGCTCAAATAAATTGGTTAGTCTCTAAGGTGGCACAAGTCCTCCTTTTCTTTTTGTGAATACAGACGAACACGGCTGTTACTCTGAAACCTCTCCGGGGTGAGTGACCTGGCTGTTGCAGCATGAACCACGGTAGCTTAGTCTCCAGGCTTTTAGGCGCACACACTTTTCAGCAGGTGAAGCAACCTGAAAGCAAGGATTCTGAACTAGATACGAACATGCCAAATTGTATGGTTATAAGTTTTATTGTCCACCTGGGCTATATCTGCTTTTTTCCCCAAAGAGCAGATGCAGCTCTCTGCATTTGAACTCTGTTTACATATTCCAAGTAATTTAGGCCTTGTCTAAACTACAAAGTTTTGTCGGCAAAAGGTATGCTGCTTTAATTAAAGCGCTTTAATTAAAGCGAGGGCTGTCAAGCGATTAAAAAAATGAATCATGATTAATCGTGCAATTAATCGCACTGTTAAACAATAATAGAATGCCATTTGTTTAAATATTTTTAGATGTTTCTACATTTTCAAATCTATTGATTTCAATTACAACACAGAATGCAAAGTGTACAATGCTCATTTTGTATTTATTTTTATTACAAATATTTGCAATGTAAAAAACAAAAGAAATAGTATTTTTCAATTCACCTAATACCAGTACTGTAGTGCAATCTCTTTATCTGCAGGATCAACTTTCATGATATAGGATTATGTACAAAAAAATAACTGCATACAAAAATAAGCAATGTAAAACTTTATAGCCTGCAGGTCCACTCAGCCCTATTTTTGTTCATCCAATTGCTCACACAAACAAGTTTGTTTACATTTGCAGGAGATAATGCTGCCTGCTTCTTGTTCACAATATCACCTGAAAGTGAGAACAGGTGGTTCACATGGCACTGTTGTAGCTGGCATCGCAAGATATTCATGTGCCAGATGCGCTAAAGATTCATGTGTCCCTTTCATGCTTCAACCACCATTCCAGAAGACATGCATCCATGCTGATGATGGGTTCTGCTCGATAACGATCCAAAGAAGTGCGACATGTTCATTTTCATCATCTGAATCAGATACCACCAGCAGAAGGTTGATTTTCTTTTTTGTTGGTTCAGTAGTTTCTGCATCAGAGTGTTGTTCTTTTAAGACCTCTGAAAGCATGCGCCACACCTCATCCCTCTCAGATTTTGGAAGGTACTTCAGATTCTTAAACCTTGGGTCAAGTGCTGTAGCTGTCTTTAGAAATCTCACATTGGTACCTTCTTTGCATTTTGTCAGATCTGCAGCAAAAGTGTTCTTAAAACATGTGCTGAGTTGTCATCTGCGTCTACCATAACATGAAATATATGGCAGAATGCAGGTAAAAGAGAGCCAGAATTGAAAAAGTGAGTTCAGTCACAAATTTAAATATTGTAACTCATTATTTTTTTAAGAAGTGTCATCAACGTGGAAGCATGTCCTCTGGAATGGTGGCCAAAGCATGAAGGGGCATACAAATATTTAGCATGTCTGGCATGTAAATACCTTGCAATGCCAGCTACAAAAGTCTCATGGGAATGCCTGTTCTCACTTTATTGTGACATTGTAAATAAAAAGTGTGTAACATTAGCTCCCGTAAATGTAAACAAACTTGTTTGTCTTCGCAATTGGCTGAACAAGAAGTAGGACTGAGTGGACTTGTAGGCTCTAAAGTTTTTACAATGTTTTGTTTTTGAGTGCAGTTATGTAACCAAAAAAAAATCTACATTTGTTAAGTTGCACTTTCACAAAGAAGAGATTGCACTTCAGTACTTGTATGAGGTGAATTGAAAAATACTATTTCAGGGGCTCTCAGACTTTCTTTTTGAGGCCTCCCCCAACATGCTATGAAAACTCCATGGCCGACCTGTGCCACAATAACTTTTTCTGCATATAAAAGTCGGGACTGGCATCAGAGGGTAGCAAGCAGGGCAATTGCCAGGGGCCCCATGCCACAGGGACCCCCACGAAGCTACATCGATCAGGCTTTGGCTTCAGTCCTGGGTAGTAGGACTCAGGGCCCTGGGCTTCAGCCCCATGTGGTGGGGCTTCAACTTTCTACTCTGGGCCCTAGTGAGTCTAATGCTGGCCCTACTGGGTGGCTCCCCTGAAACCTGTTCACAGCCCCCCAGGGGACCCCAGTGAGCTGTAGCTCACTAAAGCTTATGCTCAAATAAATTTGCTAGTCTCTAAGGTGCCACAAGTACTCCTTTTCTTTTTGCGGATACAGATTAACACGGCTGCTACTCTGAAAACTGCAATACAGTATTTGTATGAGGTGAATTGAAAAATACTATTTCTTTTGTTTATCATTTTTACAGTGCAGATATTTGTAATAAAAAATAATATAAAGGGAGCACTATACACTTTGTATTCTGTGTTGTAATTGAAATCAATATATATGAAAATGTAGACAAACATCCAAAAATATTTAATACATTTCCATTGTATTCTATTGTTTAACAGTGCGATTAAAACTGCGATTAAGCACAATTAATTTTTTGAGTGAATTGTGTGAGTTAACTGCGATTAATCGAAGGCCCTAATTAAAACCACTGTTGCATGTCCACACTAGCTTCTTTTGTCAGCAGAGTGCATCCACACTAACAGCTGTTGCATCGACACAGAGAGCAGTGCAACACTGTGGTAGCTATCCCTGTGTGGCCATTCTTATGAGAGACTTATGTGCCAAGCAGAGCCGAGGGCTGACATGGGGGGTGTCTCCTTCCTCCTGCCTCAGGATAGGTCGCTGCAGGGTGCTTTGGGAAGGGTTTGCAATGCTTCATGGGGGGGCAGGTATAGCATCACCTGATGGAGGTTTCTCAATCCCATCCTTCTCGGAGCTTCCAGTTCCTAGTAGATTGTCAGCTTTTCAACTGAACTGTGAGGGGAGGGAGAGGAGAGTGGTATATCTGGGGCAGGGGAAACAGCAGGCTGAGCGACCTATTCTGAGGCGGGGGAAGGGGACACCCCGCACGTCAGCCCTCGGCTCTGCATGGCACAGCAGTCTCTCATAAGAATGGCCATACTGGGTCAGACCAAAGGTCTGTCTAGCACAGTGTCCTGTCTTCCAACAGTGGCCAATGCCAGGTGCCCCAGAGGGAATGAACAGAACAAGTAAACATCAAGTGATCCATCCCCCATTGCCCATTTCCAGCTTCTGGCAAACAGAGGCTAGGGACACCATCCCTGCCCATCCTGGCTAACAGCCATTGGTGGAACTATCCTCCATGATGGAACTAACCTCCTCTCCCCAGGCAGCCCGCTCTGCCTGCCTGCCTGCGGTCCTGTGATTCCCTCCCAGTTCTCCCACAGTCTCTTCAGCTGCTGGGAGCCACAGTCTGAGCAGCCTGGTGAGCTCTCTGTGCTGAGGAGTGTCAAAGCAGCACAGTAGTCTGTCCCCCCACCCCACACACACTTACGCCGCTTCCTGCAGCAGCAGTCTGCCTGCTGCTAAGTATCAGGGTGTAGCCTTGTTAGTCTGTGTCCACAAAACAACAAGGAGTCCGGTGGCACCTTAAAGACTAACAGATTTATTTGAGCACAAGCTTTTGTGGGTAAAAACCCCACTTCTTCAGATGCATGGAGTGCAAATTACAGATGCAGACATAAATGTACTGACACATGAAGAGACGGGAGTTACCTCACAAGTGGAGAACCAGTGTTGTTGACAGGGCCAATTCGATCAGGGTGGATGTAGTCCACTCCCAATATAGATGAGGAGGTGTCAATTCCAGGAGAGGCAAAGCTGCTTTTGTAATGAGCCAGCCACTCCCAGTCCCTGTTCAAGCCTGTTGCTGTATTCCTAGTGCAGGGCAGAACAGGAGCATTCCATGTTAATGATTTGCTCTTTGTTCCCCAAACGGAGCAGGGCGCAGTTGTCAGATACTTCCAAGAGGTTTGAAAGGGGAGGGGCACATGCCTGCGAGGCAGCAGAGATCAAAACAGTGAGCAGGCAGGCATTGTGGGATACTGGTGGAAGCCAGTTGTGTGGACAAAACAAACAGCAGTGTCTACACTAACACTTTGTCGCTTTAACTTTGCTGCAAAAAACTTTGTTTGTCGCTGAGGTGGTTTTATTTTGTCGGCAGAACAGCAGAGGTTTGCTGCCAAAAGTAGCTTTGTAGTGTGGACACCTCCCCTGTTTTGTCGGCAAAAGGCAGCTTTTGCCGACAAAACTTTGTAGTGTAGGCAAGGCTTTGGTGTCTGACTGGCGCCAGTCACTGTATTATCTAAGCACCAAAGCGTGATATCTGCCTTTCATATCTGCTTATTTTACATGAGTTAAGATCCTACCTAGGTGTCTCCAAACAGAATGTGCTTTTAACCTTGATGGTGGGCACAAAGCAACATCTTCCCTTCTGAGCTCTGGATCATGTTTCTCTTCCTTCTTTGCCCTGGGCTTGTATTTCAGAGATTGCCTGTGTGTCTTCAGCACTGCGGCCCAGCAGAGGAGCACGGGAGATGAATGTGGACCAGAGGATCCCCGCGATGAGCCAAGGCATCCCCTTTCTGAGCGAACTCTAGAACTCAAAGCCAGCAAACTGGAAGAACAAGTCCGTGATTTAACTGTGAGTCTACCACTAGCAGCATCTTAGCAAAGGTATCCCCATGTCTTCAGGGTTCAGTCCCTTCAAAGTGGGAGGGCTCATTCATTTCACTGTTAAGCCACCTGCCTGAATACATTATAGATGACATCTTTCATCCCAAAGCTCTTCACCACAGAAAGGCAGTCATCTCCAGGCTGCAGGGTGACAACCAGCTACCCTTGCATAACATTAGGAGGCAATGCCCAGTTAGCAAAGTGCTTTATGTCCTCCTCCAAAACATCAGCTGTTGATTACTCCTGGAAATAGGAGACCAGACTGGATGAACCAAGTAGTCTGATCCTGGCTAGGAAATCCTGTGTGTGTTAGAGATTCCCTTTTCAAATCTTTGAGTGTTGTCTATTTAGACCTGCAGTAATTTTGCCTGTGTCTTGTGAGAATTCAAAGGATGATGATCCTGATTAGCCTGGCCTTATGGCATTCAAGGATCACCAGGTCTTAGAAGGGTTTATACAGTTCAGATAAATGTGCAAAATGATCCAGCTCAGGCAGGCCTGATGTGTGGAATGTATTTAGCTGCTTTTCTTACTTGAGGAGATGGTTTCCTATGCATTTGGAAATCAGCATCCGTTCTGAAATCCTGCTCTCTAAACTCTAGGTACAAGGTGTTGTGGCCAAGTTACTCTTGCTTTAGGTAGCAGAGCAGTGTTTCTTCCCTCTACCGTAGGCGCTGACTCCATGGATGTTCCAGGGGAAAAAATAGTGCGTGCTCTGCAGATCGGCCCCTTCCCCTGCACCCCTCCCACCCACTGCAATCAGCTGTTCAGGGACTTGCAGGAGGCACTAGGGAGAAGGGGGGGCAGGAAGAGGTGGGGTGGGGGCCTCTACCCTTGCCTTTATCCCTCTCAGTTCCTTCATCTTATCAGTTAATCACTCTCATCATTTTTAGAATGGAATCACTGATCCCATCTCTGTGAACTTGTAATCACGTCCTAGCTCACCCACTCCTTCTGCATTTCTAGACTTCGCCTCCTCCCTGTCCTCTCCCTGTGACTCTCCACAGTTGAAAGAGATGGCTGTTTCATTTGTGTTGCATCATCTTAACTGGAACACCCTCATACTTCCACCTCAAAGCAATGAGTTACTTCCGTTCTGTAACCCTTCCGCCATTGTACTAATTTCAATTGAATTAATGGGGTCAAAGATGTTAATGTGACCCTGTCATAATCCAACGTTAAACAGATCTCAGCCTGCTTCGTTTCATGGCAAACACATGATTAAAATTTTTTTATCTTTTGTTAAAGATACAGAAAAGAAAGGAAAACAGGTAAAGTATTATGTAAGGCTTTCATTGTAACAGCTTGCCTTGTTCCCTTTCCTTTTTGCCATAGAGTCTTTAGTGGGGAAAATTCTCTGGCTGACAGTCTCTTCGATGGTATTAAAGATCCTAATAACTGTCCCTTTTTTAGGGAAAAGAGAGAAAGTTAATTGAAATGGGCTGGAGCTGCTGTTATTGTTAAAGTCCAGTCCCATTTTCAAGAACACAAAATAAGATGCACACAAAAGAGAATACTTTCCACAGTATGCGTCCGATGAAGTGAGCTGTAGCTCACGAAAGCTTATGCTCAAATAAATTGGTTAGTCTCTAAGGTGCCACAAGTACTCCTTTTCTTTTTGCGAATACAAACTAACACGGCTGTTACTCTGAAACCTAACAAAAGAGAAAAAAGAACAACAAAGACAGAAAATGCAACTTCCATTTCTGGTATTGACTTTCACTTGCAACCTCACTATTGGAGAAACAGAGGCATGGTGCACTGTCTTATTAGCCACTCTGAGATCTGGCAAACTTGTACTCACATCAGGCTGTTTAGGGCATTGCTTTTATCTTCCTCTCTGGTTTACAATGGTGTTGCAAAATACCCAGTCTTGGCCAACTAAGTCAGACTCTTATTAGAAGGAAAAAGGAGAGGGGTAGGAAAGAGAAGAAATAAGGTGAGGAAGGAAAAGGACACATGGGATGGGTCTGGAGGTGTGTGACAATGTCACATCCCAGGTGGTGGTTGGGATTTAGAGAGAGCAGGTGGAGGTGGTGATGTCTTCTGTGTCCCTCTCTCTGGTCCAGTCTGGTCAGGGCATCTCTCAGGATCAGGACGGCCCAGTGGTGTTACAATAGACCGTGGGATCCCAGGAGACAGCGGGGGTGGCAGCCATGGTGGTAAAGCTTGCTTCAGCAGTTGCTGGCAAACTGCTGCTGCTTGATATTTTTTTCTCCCAAAAGTCTGGTCTTTTAAAGATCCCAAAAGGGAGTGATGGGCAAAATATCCCAACTCCTTATGTTCACCAAGTAGGCTTAATTTCCAGCACCCTGATTTTGGTTAATTGATTTCCAGTTGAGAGCTTCTCTTGTTTATCAGGCTTGATTGTAACCCAGTCCTTGAGTTACATCAGTAGGACTTTTTGTTTGGATTAATTCAGCCTTTGTCTCCCTTTTGCATCTTTTTCCGTCAATTTGTATTATTATAGATTGTGCCATTTTGTGAGCTTTCACTCACTCCTTACAGTTGAGCTCACAATTAAGGTAAATTCATAGCCATCATTACTGGCTGATGCTCTGAATCCCTTTATGATTCTGTACTGTTTACATTTATAAAATGGGTTTATCCACCAAGCTATAAGTTCCTGAGTAAATAGTAAATTAGCACACCACTAATGTATTAACTATATGAACTTCCTCCCCAAGACGGCTCCAAGCTCCCTCATGGATACACTGTGCCTTAAGGGCAACAGACTCTGGCCTAACAAACTAACAGGGCAGGCAAACAGTAGAGTTGAGAGCCCTCTCTTGAGATTCCTCCTGCGCATCATCACGTTATGAAGAGTGCTACAAACAAATGCATTTTATTGGACTTCTCTGTTGTCTCTACGTCTTGCAATATTTCAAATTCTATTTTCACTTGCCACATTGGTACATTTGCATTGGGATAAGAAGAAAATGAGGGTGGCAAACCTACCAATGTGGCACGTGAAAATAGAATTTGAAATATTGTAAAAGACTCCACTTCAGCTGAGGCACTTTCTGAGAAATGTTACTCCTCACTCAAACGGGGTTGGGGGGGGGGGTGAGAGAGAGAGAGAGGTGACCAATACTATTTTATCACAGTGCCACCACTGTCCAGTTGGGGAGAGCAACTGGTTCAGCTACTGTGGTGTGAGCAATGTTGGCAGCCCTCTATTGAGGAGCCACCACTGTCACAACGATTTGAGCACCGTGATTAGACTTGTTCCAAACAGGGTTAATTCACATGGTACTAAAAAGAGCTGATCTTCCCTAGGGGTGCCACCTCTGCCAACACTGGTTCAGCTGCACTGGTGAGATTTTTTTTTGTAGCTACCCCCTTGAGTAGGAAAGGCTAAAGAAGAGGGAAAGATGCAGGGCCTTTCTAGAAATTATTACCCTGACAGCAGCTATCTTCTGCACCAGCAAAGCATCAGCTGATTGCACATTCATTGCTAAGACCTCCCAGTCAGCTGCTAAGTGAAAGAATCCATCAAGAGCTGCACCTTGAATGGTCCAAAAACAGCAGACTGACCTGACCGTGCAGAGTGGTCTGCTCAGCTGTGCCCAAAATCCTCCTGACCAGTGACTTGGGTGCTGTTAATCTGCTCCTAGTTTTGCTGCCTCAAGCAATGGGAGAGGCCTTTGGGCATGTGTGTGCTTTGTAACTGGGGTCGGGGAGCCAGCATGAGCTGGTAACTTGCAGGGGGAGTATCTCTTTAAATAGATTGTCTGTGTAGGGGGATACAAGGTTCTACAGCAATAGGTGTGGCCCTGTGATGGATCACTCCCCTTGTCTGATGCCTGTGCCCGTTGCTGTGTGTGTGCAGGAGCGATACCGGAAAGCCTTGGCAGATTCTGAAAACGTCCGGAGGAGAACACAGAAGTTTGTGGAAGATGCCAAGCTGTTCGGTAAGCAAAGAGCTGCTGGCACTGTTTGCGGCAGTGTGACTTGCTTGGCTAAGCAAAGTTAAGAAACAGAGCAGAAAGTACAAATAAGCAGCTTCCCCTCCCCGTCCTTCTGCTCTTATTCTTTCTAAAGCCTGTTGTGTTTGGCCTGAAGTGACTGGTGGCTGGACTCGCTAGCTGTTGTATCTGCATGTTCACCCAAATCCTGTGGGCTTATCTCGGTGATAGCCCTAGGGCTTGTTTCTTTTTTCCAAGGTCTGTTTTGTAAGAATGATCTATACTAATCAACCATACATCCTTTTGGATTTTGGGAATGTATTTGTAAAATGCTGCTGAGCTGGTGTAAATCAGCGTAGCTTCCTTGACTTCATCAAAGATGATTTACACCAGCCGAGAATTGGCACTTGGAGTTTATTCCAGGCTCTGTGCAATGTCATTAAGCCGCACTCTCCTTTCTAGTACTGAGATCCTGTTCTTCCCTTCACCTCCACTATGAAATTAATGGATGTAGTGCATTAATGGATGTAGTGCAATTGGTAGAAGCCAATTAATGTTTCTCAATTAATGTATTCTTAAAATATGTTGAGTAAACTTAGTGTTGGTGAAATGGGCTGGATTGATAGCTCTGGAGACTGATATCCTTGATTATCCACAGAGCAGGTGCAACATGAGAAACAGCAGAGCAAGCATTCCAAACTCTGTCCTGTCAATGTACTTTAACCCTTCTGTGAAGGGACTACCTCTAGGGGTGAGAGGATAGTTCAGTCCCCATGGAGAATCCAGTCCTGGGCACCTTTGCTTAGACTGTCATCAAAAATGCTAGTTATGGTTTTATGTGATGTGGGCACCTGTCAGCTTGGAACTGGGCTGAGTCGTCCACCTCATATCACATAGGTTGCCAAGTAATCATCAGATGGTAGCACTCTAGGATACTACTGGTATGACTTTGATTCAAGCCAGAAACCTAAGGATAGAAAGCTCTGTAGCCCATATCAGTCCTAGGAGTTTCCTTTTTTCTCATTAGTTAACGCTTATCTGGAGGCTCTTGGAGTTTATCCTGGGTAAGAGTGCCTGTATTTCCTTTGCTTTGTGCCTGCCTGGTCTGCTTGGAAATAGCTATTGCATTCAGGGTCCATCTACATTGTTGGTGCTCTTGAATTTCCTGGGGTGTTTTTATAGTGTATGTTTTAGGTTTGAAGGAAATAATAAAGATTCTTGCTTTACATTAGAATTGGTCAGCTGGGAAGACATGGGGTTCAGTAAGGCATTGGAATAAGCCCAAATGCAAGGCTACATAGACCAATATCTGATCTGCTATGGATGCTTCTCTTCTCTTCTTTCTTCTCCTCCTCCTCCATATTGGTTCTCTACATAGCTGTCAAACCTATATATGAAGGAGTATGCAGTGTTTAATTGTTGCTAATGTCTTCCCCTTTCCTCTCCCATCTATCTCAGATCCCTTTTTGTTATGTTACTAAGGGTATGTCTATAGTACCCAGCAGGCAGCGATCGATCCAGGGGGGTCAATTTATCACCTCTAGTCTAGACAAGATAAATCGACCCCCGAGCGCTCTCCTGTTGACTTCCGTACTCCAGCGCCACGAGAGGCGCAGGCGGAGTCGACGGGGGAGCAGCAGCAGTCGACTCACCACAGTGAAGACACCGCGGTGAGTAGGTCTAAGTACGTTGACTTCAGCTACGTTATTCACATAGCTGAAGTTGCGTAACTTAGATCGATCTCCCCCCACCCCACCCCCCAATGTAGACCAGGCCTCAGTGAACATGTGCCTACCTCCTGAGAGAGGGTTTTTTTGGTCAATCTTCATATCAGATTCTCTGCAACCAGAAATATACAGCTGCCCAAAATGTATACAAACTGAGCTGGGTTTCCTAAATGGCAACAAGGTTTGGATTCTAGACCACGCCTATGTTACCAGGGGTCACCTGAAGTCTCACTGTAATGTCCCAGGTTACAGGACAAACAAAATATTGAGACTCTTTGTGAAATAACTCTGCTTTATGGAACCTGTATATATTGCATAGCTATTGATCTGCCTAGGTATATACTTCACCCCTTACTATGGTCTCTGGGAGCCTGTAGTGCACTCCTAAGTACTGTCTGTACAATACTGAGGTCCCAGTCGCAGGAGTCGCAGTAATGCCCTCAGTTACCATTGAAGGCAGTCATCTCTTAGGATCAGTCCCTTCCAGTGTGGCATGGCAATATGCCCAGGGTGATGCTGTAGCCTTGCACTGTCTACCACTGAATTGACATTGCTTAACATCCTGCCTATTTGTGTATGTGGCTGCAGGGATCCAGAGTTTCTGCAAGGACCTGGTGGAGGTAGCTGATATCTTGGAGAAGACTACTGAGAGCGCTGCAGGAGAAGCAGAGCCTAGTGACCCAAAACCAACCCTCAAGAAGATCTATGAAGGCCTCTCCCTCATAGAGGCCAAGTTGCAAAGAGTATTTGCCAAGCATGGCCTTCAGAAGATGAACCCCGTCGGTGGCAAATATGATCCATACGACCATGAAATAGTCTGCCATGTGCCAGCAGAGGGAATGCAGCCGGGCACAGTGGCCCTAGTGACTCAGGATGGCTATAAACTCCACGGCCGCACTATCAGACACGCACAAGTTGGTGTGGCAGTAGAGTCGCAGGAGTAATGTGGTGGGTGCACCCACCGGGATCTGGGACCTTATTGAGCTGAGGACTCTGCCACACAGTGGCGATAGCAGCTGCATGTCTTTTCTTTATTTATTAAGCTAGGTTTGTATTGTACATTGGCTTCTTCACAACATGTGCATAATCTTGGCTTTAATTCCAAGAGGCTCAATTATTTAATGTCACTTTTTCTGAGTGTGTGTAATACTGGAAGTCCTGCTATTTATCAGAAGCATGTGGCACTGCTAGCTCCCCTTCTCTGTTGGATTCACGTCTCTCTCAAAACTTACACTGGGGGAAGAGGGAGTTGGGGAGAGAGAATCTGAGAGCCAGGAATTTATGCCTTCCAATCCCAGCTCTGACATACTCTTTCCCTGGCTTTGGGCAAGTCACTTAGCCACTCTTCCTCAGTTTCCCTATATGTAAAATAGGGATATAATAATACTTACTGACCACCTCACAGGGCCGTTGTGAGGATTAAATAATATTTGAGATGCACCGTAGAGATGAAGAGCTCTAGCTAAGTGCTAAGTATTATTATGAGACTCTTTTGTGGTCTTTTATTTTTTTTTTCCCATTTCCCTTACGCAGAAGGAGCTGTGAAAGCATCTGCCATTTTCAGCCAGACTTTTCTCATCTCTCTTCAGAAAAAGCAATTCTGAATTAACAAAGCCTTAATCATCTTGTATTTGAGTATGGATGAGGGTTTTTTAAAAAAAAAAATAATTATCAACTGAAACTTGATCAGATTAATGTTTGCTCTCCAGCTAAGACTTCAGACCTGCAGAGCTGTCCCTAGGGGACAGTGAATCAGGGTGACCGCTCCCAGCCCCACACTTGGGGACCCCCATGGGCTGGTGGCCACATGGGTGGTGGGTGAACCGCTGGCTGGGGGAGGGAGAGCCACACTTGGCTGTTTGGGAAGGCACCGCCTCTCCTAGACGCTTCCGGCGCAGTCAGTCCCGGAAGTGATGTCACTTTCGCCCCGGTCCCCACATCTCCCTAGGGACAGCCCTGCAGACCTGTCTGCTTCTCACTGAAGTTAAACAGTGGGAGTGACACCAGGCAGGGGGAGCAGGAACTATTCTCAAGTCTCAGCCACTGAGCAAGGATCTAGGCCTGTTCTCCAAACAAGAAGTATTTTTGAGAAGGGAAATCTATCTCTAGATCATTTGTGCTACAGCTTCCAAGCACCAGAAACGGTTCACTCTTTACTAACCCTGAAAGGGGAAATATGATCTCTTATTTTGTCAACAAAATACCAGCTAACAGATACACAATTAACACTGATGACTTTCCCAACCCTAATTCATAGCCTATTTCTGCCTGGCTGTGGATAGACATCAAATTTAGGCTTTATTTCATTTTTTTTAGATGGAAGGAGAGAAGTCTTAGCAAAAGCTCCAAGTGTCCTTGAATCAGTTGCAGCAGCAATTATGAGCAAGTGAAGAGAGGCAGGGATCCAAGTGCCAGTCGAGAGTGGGAGCTGGCCTAAAGTGTTCTAGCTCAAGGCCGTCTGGCTGGTGCAGCCTGGCGAAAGATCATAGGGCATGTGTATCTCTGTTGCTGAACAGATTGTATGTGTGATACCTTCAGCTAAACTGAAAGGATGGGTAGACTCCTCATCCCCAGCATTACTGACTTACTAGATGCTAATGTCTATCTCTGAGCTAAATGGGAATCTAACCCTCATTTAATGAACGGCAGAAGAAATAATGGAAGAGAAGACCCCAAGCTATCAGCTGCATTATAAAAGGCAAGGAGGGTGAACAGTTGTACTTTCAGGTGGTTCTTTCAGGAGTTCTTGCCCTCTCACTTGCTATCAAACCTATGGTCTGGCAGGTGTTTGGGCTCTGCTTCCAAAGACTTTTGTCTAGTGCGGCCGCCAGCTCTAGCTCGGAGGTATTCCTTTGCAGATGTGAGATGCTGAAAAAGGCAGGAGAGGTACCCATGGTCTTGTTGTGATGGCTCTCGAGATTACAACCTCCCTCAATAGGCAGCTACAAATTAAGACTTTCTGGGAAGATTCCATAAACATAGAATATATTCATCTGAATGAGTTTCATTCAAAGACAGACATGTCTTCTTGTCTCTTATGATTAGTGCAAAACTGCCTCTTAATGACAGCGGTACCCAAAGTTCCCTTGGGGGTGATTCAGCGTTTCAGTTCTTCATTACAAAACACTTCTTAATGTGTGTATGTGCCTCTGACCATTTAGGATGTTGAGGCAAGTACTTGAGATCTCAGCCCTGGAAATCAATACTTCATGGGAAGTTCTAGCAAGCATCCACTTAAGTTTCTTTATCTGTGTAACTTCTACAATACTGGCGTACCTTACAGGGCTGTTGTGAGGATTAATTTAAGGTGTATAAAGTGCTGTGAGTTCCTTTGACTAAATGTGCTAGAGAGAAGCATGGTATCGCCGCTGTTGATCCTAGTTTTCGACTTCACTTTGAATCCCACAATGAAAGTGCAACTAGGCAAACCTTTGGGCCAATCTCCCAAATTCCCTAGCAGGAGTTACACAGCTTAGGCTAATTTTGGACCTGTTGCCTTTCAAATACACACACCCCTCGTGTGGTGTAGGTTGTCTATGGCTAAGTTGAATTTCTTCTGTGGAGATTCCTGTCCCCTTGCTGTCTTCCATGGTTTGTGTAAAGCTTGCACGCTAAACACAGGGGGCCAGATTTTTCTTTGGCATAACTCTTTTGCACTTCAGGGAGTTACACCATGGAGGAATTGGGCCCTTTGGCTTTTTCTTCCCAGTCACTTTATGACGGCCTGACCTGAACACAGAAGTGTATTAGAAGGGAAGGTTTGGCGGAAGAGGGAAAATGTCACATAAACACTAATCATTTCCACTTTAATACACCCATGAACCTTGGAACTTGAGCACTTAATGTAGATGACTAGATAACAAATGTGTGTTCAGCTGGAGTCATGGGATAAGATAGGAAGCAAAGGGTAGAAATAAACAGTCAGTTTTCACAGTCGAGAGAGGTAAATAATGGGGTCCCCCAAGGATCTATACTAGGAGTAGTGCTGTATAACATATTCATAAATGATTTGGAAAAAGGTAAACAGTGAGATGGCAGAGTTTGCAAACACAAATTTACTCAAGATAGTTTAAGTCCAAAGCTGACTATGAAGAGTTACGAAGAGATCTCACAAAACTGGGTGACTGGGCAATAAAATGGCAGATTAAATTCAGTGCTGATAAATGCAAAGTAATGCACATTGGAAAACATAATCCCAACTATAAATACAAAATGATGGGGTGTAAATTAGCTATTACCATTCTTGAAAGAGATTGTGGACCCATCATGAATAGTTCTCTGAAAACATCTGCTCAATGTGAAAAGCTAACAGAATGTTAAGAACTGCTAGAAAGGGGATAGATAATAAGAAAATATCCTAATGCCACTATATCATCCGTGGTAAACCCACACCTTATATACTTTGTGCAGTTGTGGTTGCACCATTTCAAAAAAGATATATTAGAGTTGGGAAAAGCACAGAGAACGGCAACAACCGTGATTTATAAGTAGGGAACAGCTTCTATAAGAGGAGAGATTAAAAAAACTGGGACTGTTCATCTTGGAGAAGAGACTAAGGGGGGGGAGAGGACAGAGGTCTATGAAATCATGACTGGCGTGGCGAAAGTGAACAGGGGAGTATTATTTTCCCCTTCACATAACACACGGAATGAAATTGATAGGCAGCTGGTTTAAAACACATAAGGAAGTACTTCACACATTGCACGGTCAATCTGTGGAACTCATTGCCAGGGGATGTTGTGATGACCAAAAGAATTAGATAAGTTCTTGGAGGATAGGTCCAACAATGGCTATTAGCCAAGATGTTCAGGAAGGCAACCCCCTACTCTGGGTGTCCCTAAACCTCTGACTGCCCTAAGCTGGAACTGGACAACGGAGGATGGATCACTTGATAAATTGCCCTGTTCTGTTCACTTCCTCTGAAGTATCTGGCATTGGCTACTGTCAGAGGACAGGACGCTGGGCTAGATAGACCACTGGTCTGGCCCAGTATGGCTGTTCTTATGTGGTGTTGGTCAGTAGAAATGGCTTTCTGCTCTTGGACTCTGACAACCCTCCTTTATGTTAGCAATCACCTTACTTCATGACCTCTGTAGATCTTGCCAGTGGGGCACATTGGGGTTCAATTCTTCCATGAGGCTCCCGGTGGCACGATCATATAAGTTTGGCAGCCTGTCTGTATGCAGCGCAAAATGTGAATGTTATGTGGACCTCAAATTCTCAATATTTCATTAACAGATTCTGTTGAAACAGCTGTGATAAATCAATTGCTATTAGCACTCTGATTTTAAAAATATTTAAGTTTTTATATTTTAGTATTTTTTTATTTTAAAGCACAACATATTTTGATATCATTTTTGCTGAGTCAAATGAACAAAGAATTGCTGATCTCCAAAAAGTTACATCCTTGTAGTTGATAGGAAACCTTCTGTATGGTTTTTTTCATATGTTTCTATGCTCTTATTTACCCAAAGGTTCTAGCTGTATGAAAGGGAAATTCATATGGAACTGTGGGGAGTGGTGCTGATGATTGATGACAGAGATTTGAGTTAATGTTGGAATTTGCTGATTTCTTCTAGATGTCTGGATACTGTGTGTGCTAATAAACATTTTTTTTTCAGGATTTTTTGACTGTTGAAATGTATTGCGCATTGCAAGTGCTGTTTAAATGTGGGCAGTACTGTGGGGTTAAATATTTGTAGCTATTCTAGTTCCTGCTGTTTAGAGTCAGATGCATTCATCTGGATTTTTTAGTGATCCTTCATCTGGACTCCCAGAAATATTGTTCATGTCTCTGACAGGCTCTTTCACACTCCCACGGGTATGCTGTCAGGGATCTCTGTATTGGACTAAACCATCTGGTGATGTGATGGCATCATTGCTCTCCCATGCTTCCTGGACTGTTTGCCATGTCCATAAATACAGCCCTCAGTCTAAGCCCATTTGCACAGAGAAATGCCTTACTGCAAAATGATCGGATGCTACTGCATCTCCCAATACTTCACCTTGCAAATCACTGCACTTATGTGACTCACGGTCTGTTGCATTTTGCCCTTTTGGATGCAATATACTCGAGCAAGTTTATTCCTTATTGACGACTCATTTCAAATAGCTTTATTGTACAGTGTTACCCTCTTCAACTGGAACTCATTGTCATCCGAAGGTAGGTTATGGTCTCTGGGATTTACTGAGGAGGACAGGCTTCCTGCTCCCCTAGGACTAAATGCCTGTTTATTATTGCCTTGTCCTGTCCCCGCCCCAGACCTTCATACTGTACAAGGTCTGCCCTCCATTCTGGTTTTGGCTGAATGTAGGGAACTTATACCCCTTTTTTGGTGGGTCCCTCTCTCCTAATTTTGCCGGCAGCTTTGATTATCCCTGTACAGCACCTATTCCTGGGGGGGCCTCTGCAGTTTATTTCCAAGTGGCCAATATGGGGTGAACTCCCAGTTCTTATGTGAAAGGCAGCTGCTGCTCAAAGGGGCCTAGCTACCAGACAGCAGTGATAAAACTTGCCCTTCCTGTTTGCAGAGGCCACTGCCTTGTGGATGCCACAGCAGGGACTTCTATGTGCTACTGTTGTCCCATGCTGTGGCGCTAGGAGTGGCAGAGTGTGGCAGCTTAGTTTAGAGTGGCCCAGCGTAAGGACAAAACCAGCCCAGCAAGTGCTGTATGCTGCCCCGTGTAATGCATGCTAATGGCTCTCCTAGTCTATCAAACTGCCAGAAGCAAGAACTCCTAAATGAGAATCACCCCACCATGGTTATACCTGTGTAACCAGGTCAGTTGGAGATCTTGTAAATATGAGGAAACATATGTACACTAATGATACCCAGTTGTAGAATGTCTGCAGACAAGGCTGGGGCAGTCTTTACAGGCATAGCTGAAGGAAGGTAAGAGTACGCTGCTGTTTCTCCAAATCAAACACCTATCAGCCTTATCATTAGCACACCTATTTATTTATGCTGCCTCCCTGTCACTTGCACATACAGCTCGGGTGAAAATGAGACAGTTAAACGGTGTAGAGCAGTGGTTCTCAGCCAGGGTTATGCAGAGGTCTTCAAGGAAGTACATCAACTCATCTAGATATTTACCTAGTTTTTCAACAGGCTACATAAAAAGTATTAGCTAAGTCAGTACAAACTAAAATTCCAGAGGTCTGTATTGGGGCCAGTCCTATTCAACATATTCATAAATGATCTGGGAAAGGAGTAAACAATGAGGTGACAAAATTTGCAGAGGATACACAACTACTCAAGATAGTTAAGTCCTAGGCAGACTGCGAAGAGTTACAAAAGGATCTTACAAAACTGGGTGACTGGGCAACAAACAGGCAGATGAAATTCAGTGTTGATAAATGCGAAGTAATCCACACTGGAAAACATAATCCGAACTATACATATAAAATGATGGGGTCTAAATTATCCGTTACAACACAAGAAAGAGACCTTGGAGTCACTGTGGACAGTTCTCTGAAAACATCCAGTCGATGTGCAGTGGCAGGTCAAAAAGCAAACCGAATGTTGGGAATCCTTAAGAAAGGGATAGATAATAAGACAGAAAATATGATATTGCCTCTATATAAATCCATGGTACGCCCACATCTTGAATACTGTGCAGATGTGGTTGCCCCATCTCAAAAACGATCTATTGGAAAAGTTTCAGAAAAGGGCAACAAAAATGATTGGGGTATGGAACGGCTTCCATCTGAGGGGAGGAACTTTTCAGCTTAGAAAAGAGATGACTAAGGGGGGATATGGTAGACGTCTATAAAATCGTGACTGGTGTGGAGAAAGTAAATAAGGAAGTGTTATTGACTCCTTATAACACAAGAACTAGAGGTCACCAAATGAAATTAATAGGCAGCAGGTTTAAAACAAACAAAAGAAAGTATTTTTTCACACAATGCACAGTCAACCTGTGGAACTCCTTGCCAGAGGATGTTGTGAAGGCCAAGACTATAATGGTTTAAAAAAGAACTAGATAAGTTCATGGAGGAGAAGTCCATCAATGGCTATTAGCCATCATGGACAGGAATGGTGTCCCTAGCCTCTGTTTGCCGGAAGCTGGGAATGAGCAACAGGGGATGGATCGCTTGATGATTACCTGTTCTGTTTGTTCCCTCTGGAGCACCTGGCACTGGCTGCTGACGGAGGACAGGATACTGGGCTAGGGGGACCTTTGGTCTGACCCAGTAGGGGCATTCTTATGTTCATACAATGATTTATATTGCTCTATATACTATACACTGAAATGTAAGTACAATATTAATATTCCAATTGATTTTTTACAATTTATATTGTAAAAATGAGAAGGTAACTAATTTTTCAGTAATTGTGTGCTATGGCATTTTTGTATTTTTATGTCTGATTTTGTAAGCAAGTAGTTTTTAAGTGAGGTGAAACTTGGGGGTATGCAAGACAAATCAGACTCCTGAAAGGGGGACAGTAGTCTGGAAAGGTTGAGAGCCACTGGTTAAGAGAACTCTAAAGCAGACTGCAGAGGTGTCTGCTCTTTAGGTAATGGTGATTCTCTATTTTGCTTTGCACTAAGTGGTTCTTAGGATAGCAGTTCCTGGCTTGATACGTTTGCCTTTCTGGTGTTGGATATGGCTGAGCAGAGGTAATTCTCAGGCCTGTTTCCTCCAACCAAAACCTTTTGCCTGTAGCTGTTGTCCTTCCAGAGACCAACCATCTCGCTGTAGAGCAACACCCAGACTATAGATTGTGTGGCTGAGAGAGAGGCTGTGAGTGGAGCTTGAGACTCCTGCCTCTCAGTGCAAAGTGCTATCCCTAGGTGGCCATGCCATGCCTCCGGTGTGGTGTACTGCTCTGTCTAGGCACTGTAATGATGATATAAACATGGTGCTGTAGGGTCATTGTTGGTTGTTGCACTGGCTCCTATCCAGTGTGCTCCAGTTAGAAATTCCAACTCCTAGTGCCAACCCCACCTGCACCCTTGGGCTATGGGATAGAAACTGGATCATTGACTTGCCTAGGGTAGAGTGTGCAACTGAAACTTAGTCAGCAATTTGTCAACTGTTTGAAATGGGCCACGTTGATTACATTGAGCTCATTAGCACTACAAAAGTGATTTTTCCTCCCTTCTTGTCAACTGTTAAGAATAGCCCACTTCCACCTTAATTGAATTGGCTCGTTAGCACTGACCCCCCCCCCACACACACACACTTGGTAAGGCAACTCCCATCTTTTTATATGCTGTGTATTTATATTGCTCTACTGTATTTTCCACTCCATGCATCTGATGAAGTGAGTTTTAGCCCACGAAAGCTTATGCCCAAATACATTCGGTAGTCTCTAAGGTGCCATATGGACTCCTTGTTGTTTAGTCAGCAATGCCACTGTTGCATGAGTCACTCTAGAATCCAGCTTGCACTCTATCCCATAGGGCTTTGGGATCTGCAGGCATGAAAACAGGCCTTCACTCTTCGTGTTGTGGTAGCAGCCAAAGGCCTTATTGGGAGAAGGGTCCCACTATGACAGACACAGTACAGACTCACAGTCCCTGCCCCAGTGAGCTTGCAGTCTAATTAAAAATAACTCTAGTGAATGCATCGAACCATAGAGAAGTGGGGAGAGAGGACATGAATGAGAAAACAGTCAGGGGGTTACAGAGTTAAGGATAGCTGTATTGCCCGGTTGACTTCTTAGAAGCATAGCAGTAGAAGTGAATCTCACGGAGGATTTTAAAGAGGGAGAGGGTAGGAGCCATTCCATGTGTAAGGCGCCATGCCGATGAAGGCATGGAGATGTTTGTGTGAGAAGCTGACATAGAGGCATTCAAGGGGGGTGCACTCGCTTTCAGTCACTAATTCAAAGTCGGGTTGGCTGCCCAGCCCACCAAGTTGTTCCCATCTGATGACTGGCTGATGGCCTGTGTAATAGGAGTTTGGGGTGATGTCTGAGTGAAGCAGGGGAGTCTGTCTAGTAGCTAGAGGACATGGGTCTAGTTCACACACTGCAACGGGCACTGATTGATATTCTTGTTGGCAGTCTCAGCAAAGAAGCCAAGGGTCAATGGACCATGGAGACAGGACTCCCCTTTCAGCCCCGGAATCTATTCCTGTGCTGGGAAGGAGGCAGGGGACAGTGTGATGGAAGTTGCCCCTGTTCAAGCTGAACTTTGGCAGCCCTGGAGACAGAACATTTGGCATCTTCACAAAGTGCTGAATTCACACCATGTCTTTCTGAAGATAAAAAGTATTGTACATCCCTTAGGAGACTGTGGGGACCAATACCCAGGGTTCCACCCCATGAACCACCTCAATTTTCCTGAACCAGATCTCTGTAGCAAGGGGGTGGGAGAGGAGGGTTTGGGCCAGTGCTTTTCTTTTCTCACCCTCTCAACATTTCAAGTCCCCCTATAACTATCAATGACTCGCCTCTTCCAACAGCCACACCCCAGTGTCGCATATCTGGCAGAGAAGGAAGGACATGGAAGGCTAACATTCTTCAATTTCCATTTTCTGTGTGTGGTATTGGGTTAAGTTCCTTCTGGCCCTGGCAGTGGGCCTCATGAATGGGAGAGATGGGTAAGGTGACTGGAGGGTATGGAGTTGTGTGTCCTGTTGCTAGGATTACATCTCTCTTCCACCTGCCACAC